CTGAGCAACAACTGGATTTTCTAAGTATCCTCCACCCTCACCCTGCCTGCCCCTTGGCCGCCCTCCCCTTCTACTTGGCTCCCACTCTCTGGAAGCTCCATCCTGCTGGGCCTTGGCTGCTGTTTCCAGCAGGTGGGGTGGGGGCTACTCTCAAAAGGGGAACAACTGAGCTCCCTCAGTAGGTTCCAATGGGCACCCCAAAAGGGGTCCCTGAGAAGGACTGGGCCCATCTGCCTAGAGCCAAGGCCCTCGGGGACCCCAGCCCGGACTAGAGAAAGCATCTTTCCTCTCCCAGGCCCCAGGGGCAGGCTTGGCAAACCCTTATCGCCTGAGAAGCAGCTGCTGGAGAAATACCTTAGCAGCTGACTCACTACCCTGTCCTCTCTTTACAACCCCCTCCCATTAGGCCTCACACCAGGCGAGGAGGGGGGGGTTGGCGAGAAAGAAAGAAGGGGTAAAGCGACCCCAGCTGGTCTGGCCCAGACTCTACAGAGGGTGTGGCTAGCACAGTTCTGCCTAGCCCTAGCTGGATGGTTAGGGGAGATTGTTCCCTGTAAACGGACTTCATCTGGGATCACAGTTATTCTTAGAGACTTGTTCAGCTGAGGCCTCTGACCTACTGAGGCATTGATGGACAACTGACATACTGATGGCCCTGCACTCTGGGGTCCAAGGCCTTGTCACTCCAGCAGGTGAAGAGATACAGACCCTGCCTCAGGGAGTTTACAGTCTGACATACAGGCAATTCCTGAGCAGGGGAATGCTTGCTGCAGTTGGGGAAGGACAGGGCAATGAGGAGTTGTGCACGATCCCCAGTTCTACTTGGCTCCCTGGGCCTCGGTTTCCTGATCTGCCAAATGCAGATATGCAACTTCCTATCTCACTGGGAAACTGTGAGGATTGAATAGAACGATGCCTGTGAAAGCACAACAAAATGTAGGATAGTGATGATAAGTTCTGGCCACCTGGGAAGAGAGAATACCTCCATGAGTCGGGTTTCCCAACTCATTTTGTCCTGGGTTCCCTGATTACACTTTATTTGGGGGAAACACCAAACCACCTTCCCCCATGGACTCCAAGCTCAGCTCACTTCAGGCCCAGGCTTTTCATAATACTGATGGCTGACAATTATCAAGCACTTGCTACATACTAGGCACTGTTGTGTTACATATATTTACTGCATGTATGTACATGTGTGTTATATGCACACATATGTTATATGTATTTACTCCTTTTATCCTTATAATCCTTTGAGGTGAGTATTAAGCACCTAACAAATATTTGAGGTAGGAACTATTATTCCCCCTAACAGATGAGGAAACTGAGGCACAGAGAAGTGAAGTAACTTAGCAAGTAGTGGAGTTAGGAGTCAAAAGGAAGTCTACAGGCTCAGCTGGTGTGGCTCGGTGGATTGAGAGTTGTACCATGCACCAAGAGGTTGCTGGTTCGATTCCTGGTTGGGGCACATGCCCGGGTTTGGGGCTTGATCCCCAGTAGGGGCATGCAAGAGGCAGCCAATCAATGATGTTTCTATCTCTCTTTCCCTCTCTCTCTAAAATAATTTTTTAAAAATATATCTTTATTGATTTCAGNGGGGTCCAAGGCCTTGTCACTCCAGCAGGTGAAGAGATACAGACCCTGCCTCAGGGAGTTTACAGTCTGACATACAGGCAATTCCTGAGCAGGGGAATGCTTGCTGCAGTTGGGGAAGGACAGGGCAATGAGGAGTTGTGCACGATCCCCAGTTCTACTTGGCTCCCTGGGCCTCGGTTTCCTGATCTGCCAAATGCAGATATGCAACTTCCTATCTCACTGGGAAACTGTGAGGATTGAATAGAACGATGCCTGTGAAAGCACAACAAAATGTAGGATAGTGATGATAAGTTCTGGCCACCTGGGAAGAGAGAATACCTCCATGAGTCGGGTTTCCCAACTCATTTTGTCCTGGGTTCCCTGATTACACTTTATTTGGGGGAAACACCAAACCACCTTCCCCCATGGACTCCAAGCTCAGCTCACTTCAGGCCCAGGCTTTTCATAATACTGATGGCTGACAATTATCAAGCACTTGCTACATACTAGGCACTGTTGTGTTACATATATTTACTGCATGTATGTACATGTGTGTTATATGCACACATATGTTATATGTATTTACTCCTTTTATCCTTATAATCCTTTGAGGTGAGTATTAAGCACCTAACAAATATTTGAGGTAGGAACTATTATTCCCCCTAACAGATGAGGAAACTGAGGCACAGAGAAGTGAAGTAACTTAGCAAGTAGTGGAGTTAGGAGTCAAAAGGAAGTCTACAGGCTCAGCTGGTGTGGCTCGGTGGATTGAGAGTTGTACCATGCACCAAGAGGTTGCTGGTTCGATTCCTGGTTGGGGCACATGCCCGGGTTTGGGGCTTGATCCCCAGTAGGGGCATGCAAGAGGCAGCCAATCAATGATGTTTCTATCTCTCTTTCCCTCTCTCTCTAAAATAATTTTTTAAAAATATATCTTTATTGATTTCAGAGAGAGAAGAAGGGAGGGGGGGAGAGAGAGATAGAAACATCAATGATGAGTCATTGATCAGCTGCAGCCCGCAACCCAGGCGTGTGCCCTGACCAGGAATCGAACCCCGATCTCCTGGATCCTAGGCCAATGCTCAACCGCTGAGACACGCCCGGCTGGGCTAAAATAATTTTTTTAAAAAACACAATCACAAAGCTTGTGCTCATCCCCTCCTCCCTGCAGACAGAAGCCCGTGACTCTGAACCTTTTCTCAGATTGGGCTTTTCTGCTCTTCCCTCTGGACTGGGACAGGCTCTGAGGAGTCCAAGCCAGAAAGAGCCGACAACTCCAGACTGCAAACCAATCCCCCAGGAGCCAGTCCTTAACCACTTACCAGATGGGACCCCAGGGCTGGAAGCAAAGCCCCCCACCATCTCTACCAACCCACCAGCAAATTCACTCAGTCAGTAAATAATGAATAAACAGCAGTAATATCTCCTTACATATTTATAATTCTTTAGAGAGAGAAAATGAGCCTACTCTGGACCAGCCACTGGGGGCTTTACTAATAATAAGAGGTAGCATTTGTTGAGTGATTACTATGTGCCAGGGACTGTCCTAAGTTCTTTACATGTATAGATGACCCTTGAACAACACAAGAGTTAGAGGCACCACCCCTAACTATCAAAAATCCACGTATAACTTTTGTGCTATAGGAAATCCATGTATAACTTTTGACTCTCCAAAAACTCGACTACAAATAGCCTGTCGACCAGAAGCTTTACAGTAATATAAATAATTATCACATATTTTGTACATTATGTGTATTGTATACTGTATTCTCACAATGATGTCAGTTAGAGAAAAGAAAATGTTTTTAAGAAAACCGTAAGGAAGAGAAAATAGACTTACGAACTTATCAACAACTTATGTACTTATCAACAACATAAGCTTAACGTCCTCGACTTACAGGATGAGAAGAGTCCACTTATTGTGGACCCGCATAGGTGGAACCTGTGTTGATCAAGGGTCAACTGTATGAACTTGTTTGCCCCTCGCAATAATCTAGCGGGGAGGAACTTTACTGTCCCCACTGCGCAGAGGAGGGCGTGACGCAGAGAGAGTTTAGTCAGCCTTCCCAGGATCAGGGAGACCGACATTTTTCAGACTTTTTTGTTTCTAAGAAATACCTTTTACATCATTACCAAGAACATACATATACATAACTGCGATCAAAATTTACACTGGGTATTTAACTTTTCTGGTATTTAACTTTTCACTCTGGTATTTTCTATTCCACTTGGTTCTGTTGTATTTCTTCTCATGTTCTGGCCATGAACTGATGTCTGGCTACTAAACTGATTTCACAGCCCGTTAATGAGTCAACACCCACAGGTTGAACAGCACTGAGGTGTAGCTAGAAGTCCCGAGGCCAGGATTCGAACCCAAGCAATATGGCTCCAGAGCTTAATTTCGTGGGATAAAGAATGGCTTAGAACAGGGAGACAAGCGGGGACTGTACTAATGAGGGCAGTGGAGGCCTCCATAATCCCACCACCTTGCATCCCAGCAAAATACAGAAATTACTAAGGCTGGCATCGGGGTACAAACTTGCTGCCATAGACATAGTTACCCTCTTTTTAAAATTCATTTTTCAATTACAGCTTACACTCAGTATTGTTCTATGTTAGTTTCAGATGTATAGCAAAATGGTCAGAAAATCATGTACTTTACAGATTAGTCCCCCCACTGTTCCAGGTACCCACCCGGCCCCATGCCTATTTCTCTCAATATTATTGAATATAATTCCTATGCTGTAACCTGCATCTCTGTGGCTGTTCTGTAACACCAAGTGTAGTGCGTAATCCCTTCACCTTTTCACCAGCCCCCAAACCCCTCCCCTCTGACAGCTGACAGCCTGTTCTCTGTATCTGTGAGTCTGTTTCTATTTGTTTATTTTGTTCATCAGATTCCACATGTAAGTGAAATCACATGGTATTTGTCTTTCTCTGACTGCCTTATTTCACTGAGCATAATACCCTCTGGGTCCGTCCGTGCTCTCAAAGACATAGTTATTCTTCTAATGAGTCCTCCCATGAAGGAAGCAGGGTGGACCGAGAGACAGACTCGGGCAATCTGAACGATGTGACCAAGGTCACTGAGCCAGAACTAGAGCCCTGTGTCCTGTTGCCTGGTCCAGGGGTCCTTTCATGCCATCCATAGCTTACCTTTGAGGACAATGACATTGAAGCTGGAGATGGCAGTGGAGGTGGTGGTGGAGGTCACGTGATGACAGTGGTGCTGGTGGTAATAGAAATGGTAATAGTTGGTACAGGTGATGTGGGTAGTGGGAGGCTGGTGGTGCCGGTGGTGGCATTAATGATGGTGGGGAGAGTAATGGGGAGGTTGCAGGGACAGCGGTGGTGGTGGCAGAGCTGGAGACACCACCACAGCACTGTCTGTACCCCCTTCCCAAGCTAAGCTGCCCCCCCTCCCCCAGCACTTCCCTGAGCACCTGGACCACTTCGCGGAGAACATGGAGGACTTCTCCAACGACCTGTTCAGCAGTTTCTTTGATGACCCCGTGCTGGATGAGAAGAGCCCTCTGCTGGACATGGAACTGGACTCCCCCACGCCAGGCATCCAGGCCGAGCACAGCTACTCCCTGAGTGGGGACTCTGCGCCCCAGAGCCCCCTCGTACCCATCAAGATGGAAGACACCACCCAAGGTAAGAAAGGGTGGAAGGGCCCAGGGACGGCACAGGCCCAGAAGGCCCAGGAGGGAAGGAAGCTTTTGAGGGACTGCAGTGGGGCACTGGAGGCAGGGACCCCCAGAGCGCCCCAGAGGAGCCACCCACAAACACCTCTCAGGGAGGCTGGCCCTGTCTTTTGATTCTCCCTCGAATCAAACCCCCATGGGCACTTCTCAGAAGAGTTTGTTGCTGACAGGTCAGTGGTGGGCAAAGGGTGGCTCCTAGACCAGCAGCAGCACCTGGGAACTTGTTGGAAATGCAGATTCTTGGGTCCCATCCAGACCTGCTAGATCAGAAACCTGTGGATAGGGCTCAGACTTCTAGGTGATTCTGGAGCATACTTGGGTCTAAGAACCACTGACTCAGAGGCAGTGGTGAGGGGAAATAAAAAATAAATGTAGACAAGTTACCAAGACCATCTGGAATCTTCCCACCCTCTCATACTGTGATGTTCTGGGAGAGACTCCTGCACCTACTTTTATTACTGAAGGCAGGGTTCTCTGAAGCTCCCCTCTCCCCCCACCTGCCTTGCTTTTAAGCAAAGGGCCCTTTGGGTCTTTCTCTTAGGTTATCAGCATTCGAGAACTCCAGACTGTGCCCCACCTAGAAATGGCCCCTTTGGGCATTTCTTCAAATAGGTGATCTGTCCCCATCATATTTGCTGGGTGATCATGGGCATGTCTCTTAGTCTTCCTAAGCCTCAGTTTCTTCCTCTACAAATGGGAATAGTAGTCGACATTTCTATAGCACTCTCCAGTTTACAAAGTGCTTTCATGTTAAAGATCTCATTTATTTCTCACAACTCAGAGGTGAGGTGGGAATCACTTTTATCAAGATCCCCACTTGACTGATAAAGACAATGAAACTGCAGGAAAGCTGAGTTGTTTGGGTCATGCACAATAAAATGCAGCGAACCCCCTGGAAGCAAGTGAACCCCCTGATTCTAAGCCTCACACCCTCACCACCACCGCATTTGCCAGCCTCAAGGTGTCAGCAAGCTGTACTGGGTTTGGAACCACATGGGCCTTGGTGTACATCCTGATGCTTCCACCAACTGCTGTGTGATCTTGGGCAAGTTTCTTAAATTCCCTGGGCTTCTGTTTCCTTGATTATAAAATGAAGATAATATCTGGCTTGAGAATGCTAGACAAGGTTAAAAATCCCAGCACGTAATACATATTAATAATTACTGCCCAGCCAGCGAGGCTCAGCGGCTGAGCATCGACCTAGAATCCAGGAGATCGAGGTTCGATTCCCAGTCAGGGCACAGGCCTGGGTTGCGGGCTCGATCCCCAGCAGGGGGCGTGCAGGAGGCAGCCGATCAATGACTCATCATTGATGTTTCTCTCTCTCCCTCTCCCTCTCCCTTCCTCTCTCTGAAATCAATAAGATACATATTTTTTTAATTTTATTTTTGTTTAAAATATTACAGATGTCCCTAATAAGATATATTTTTTAAAAAATAAGAATAATTACTGGCCATTTTCACTGTGCTTATAAAAGTCCTGTTAATACTGTAGCGGTTCTTATTCCCCTTTCCCCTCAGAGGACAACGGTCTTGAGTGATTTTCTTCATGTTCTCATCTATTAAATGGGGAGAAGAGTGGCGCCTGTCCCATAGGACCTGGAGAGGAATAAATGAGCTCATGTGTGTCAAGGGCTTAGAGCTGTGCTCAGTACACAAAGTGTAAGCTGCAACTGAGGGTCTTAGAGGTTCCCCAAGGGCAGAGACAGGCCTTTGTACCCCCTCCCTAACCTTAGCCTTGAGGGTTTTAAGTGCCTCCAGGGCTTGTGGTTGCTGAGGTCTCAGCTTCCCTCCATGCCCTGGCTTCAGAGAACTCTGAGGTCACCTCAGTGAGGCCTCAGGCGCAGCCTGGGGAAGGGCAGGGTGTGGGACGGGCTCCCTCCCATGGTGGGTTCTCCATCCACCCCACATGTCCAGCCCAGCAACTCCTTGGACACCCCCAATCTATTTTTAGAGTAATTTGTTTGTGGGCCCTTTGCAGGGGGCAGCTTCCCGGAGGCCAGCAGGCTGGCCCTGTAATTTGGGAAGATTGTGGGTGTTCCTGGAGCCCAGAGGCAGCCTGCGGCCCGGAGCTGGGGCACTCAGGCTCCCAGCAGTGTAGGGCCTAGCCTCTGAGGTAGGATCAAGCAGCGGTTGACCCCTCTCCCCACCCACAGTGGGTCCCCAAGGCCAGAGTCCCCTATAGCCCTTCCCTTGCAAGTTGGCTCCCCAGCCCCTGCCCTACCAGAGTTTCTCTGGCTTCAGGTACTGGGGCCACCCTGGGCCTGGGTGGAGGACTGTGGGCACCCAGCGGGGAAAGGGGTGATGTCTGCCAGCCCTGGTAAGGCCAGGAGAGCCCGGAGGCCCACTAGATAGGCAGGAGGTGGATGCTGCCTGGGAGGCCTGAGCATCACCTCCACCTGCCCCCAGTCACCAGGTCCGGTGACTTCCTCCTTCTAAATTTGTCTCCATCCCCACTGCCACTGCCTTTGCTCAGGCCTTGTCTTTTCTCCCTGGACAATTTGCACAGACTCCTGCGGTCTCCCTGCCCTAGTCCAGTCTCTACGCAGAGGCAGAGTGATCTTTTTAACATCACAAATCTGAGCAGACTTAAAACTCCTCAGTGCCACCTCATTACCTTTAGGACAAAGTCACAGCTCTAAGCGCAACCTCCAAGACCATGCCACCCCTGCTGGCCTCTCTGACCCCATTTCCTTTCCTTTTCATTCCAACTGCACTTAACTGCTTATGACTCTCCCCAGATGCCCAGAACCTTGCACAGTTTACTGAATAACAACAATTGTATTAACAATAGCTACCTTTTATTGAACATTTATTTACTTCTTAACAGGCACTTTTAGAGGTGAGAAAGCTAAGGCTCAGAGGGGTTAAACAACTTGCCTAAGGTCACACAGCCAGTCAGAGGGATCCAGGTCTGCTGTCCAAGCCCAGTCTATAAGCTGTTGAATGAAGATGCCCCCACTGCTTCTGGCTCCCTGGGGACAGAGGGGGGTTGACCCCTGTCCTCCGGGAGTCCCCTGAGCCTGGGTCCTGCCCCCTTCCCCAGATGTGGAACATGGAGCCTGGGTGCTGGGACACAAATTGTGCTCCGTCATGGTGAAGCAGGAGCAGAGCCTGGAGCTGCCTGTGGACCCTCTGGCCGCCTCCTCAGCCATGGCTGCCGCTGCCGCCATGGCCACCACCCCGCTGCTGGGCCTCAGCCCCCTGTCCAGGCTGCCTGTCCCCCACCAGGTGAGCCTGGGGACTGTTTGGTACGGGCTGGGGAGGGGGAAGGGTGGGGGAGTGGAAAGAGGTGTCCCATGCCCTGTGCACCCCAGGGCCTATGAACTGGGAGGAATGTGCTCATCGGGACCCAGGGTCGGACCTCAAGACTGGGCCTCCACTCCGCCTTGGGCCGCCCCAGCCCACCGAGAGTGCGCACAAACCACAGAGCCCTCACAGTGAGCTGGGGCCCTCGTGTGTGGAAAAGGCTCACAGGGATGCAGGCAGCGCTGGGCATCAGGCCACATCCAGAGCCCGGAGATGGAGATAGCCCAGGCCATTTAATTTTCTCAAAGTCTCTGCATTTTAAAAAAGAAGAAAGACCAAAATGGAAATATAAAATGTGTGCTATATTTCAGTTGTCACATTCATGAAATTAAGACTTTCATGCCCCTCTGCCTCCCATGAATGTGTAGATATAACCGCATTCAGCTATAGGTCCAAGGGGATGTCTGAAGACCCTTCTGAGACTGTGAGGCCCAGAGCCCAGGCCCCTGGGAGAGGCCCTGCCTGGGCCCAGCTTGGCTCTCACTTGTACTCTGGGCACATGGCATTCCCTCTTCTTCAGCCTCCTTCCCTATAAAATGGGAGCGTCAGCTACCTCCGAGGAGTTTCTGTCCTTGAGTCTATGACACCAGGGTCATCTTAAATCCCTAGTCTGGATTGGGTAGGCCCTGCCCCCTGCTGGCCACACAGCTCGCTGGATCAGAGTGTGGCCACAGGCAGTCCCATCAGCCCCTCCCAAACCCTCCCTACCCCACCACTGTACCCAAGGATCAAGGGTTGGCTGCAAATGTGGAGGATCTCTTGTGACCAGATCCAAGACTGGCTCGGCGGTGCCCTGATGCCTCGGGCCTTACCCAAGCAGGAAGGGAAAGTAGGGCCGCAGCAGCAGCCAGGGTCTTGGAGGTGGGGCACATGCCTCAGAGAAGGAAACTGATGTTCAAGGAGTTAAGCAACTTGCCCCAAATCACACAGTCAGGAACAGTGGAGCCACCGAACCCCAAAGCCCACACCTTCACCCCAGTGAGGTTATGACACCCTAGTGGAGGCCCAGGAACCAGGAGTTGGTGTGGTTGGTCAGTGATGAGCTGTGTGACCCACATAAGTGCCATCATACTTCTACATCACAGTCCCCTCATCTGTCACTTGAGGGCTGAGCTGGGACATAGACCAGGGAGCCTCCCAGGTCCCTGCCAACTTGAACCTTCTGTGATTCTTACTCATCTGCCTAAATTTGAGATTCTGTGTCCCACCCACAATATCAAGCCCTCTCTCTGCTGGCTGCAGACCCTGAGGAGAGACATGGTCCTGAAATCCAGCACCTGACACAGTACCTTCCACAAAGAGATCACTACTCACATGCTTGTTGGCAGCTATGTGTAGGAAGCCCCCCTGTCCCTGCAATCCTTTCTGGGACAGCAAGCTGGAGTATAAAGAAATAGGAATGCATGTTTGTTTAAAGTGTAAATCAAATTCTGTCAGTCCCTTGCTTTAAACCCAGTAGGGGCTCTTCACTGCTTCAACCTTCTTTGACTGGATTCCACTCCCAGCCCCACCCCAATCTTCTGGTCTTGTTTCCTACCCCTCTACCCCAACATATACCTACACTCTGGACACCCTGAATACTTGCCGTTTCCAGATCCAGCCATGCTGTCTGGCCTCTGTGCCTTTGCAGATGTCTGTCCCTCTGCTTGGAATGCCTTTCTTTTCACCCACTGCCTGCCCTGTCCTTTATCTGCAATACTCCCACATATCCCTCAGGACTCACTTCAAACTTCAACTGCTCAGGGAGCTTTCTCAGCCCCAGCCAGTTAACACCTCTTGCATCTGTGCTATTGTTGCCATTCATTGAACAGCTACAATTTGCCAGACATTCCCTCTAGTTCTCATGGCAACCCACATACCAAGGCCTATGTGGCCTTCACAGGGTCAGTCTCTACCAAGAAGATGGCACTTGCCCTGGCCGAGTGGCTCAGTTGGTTGAAGCAATGTCCATACACCGAAAGGTTGCAGGTTTGATCCCCAGTCCAAGGCACATACCTAGGTTGTGGGTTTGATCCCCAGTCAAGGCCCATACAGGAGGCAACCCATCGATGTTTCTCTCCCACTTTGATGTGTGTGTGCGTGTGTCTCCCCCCTTCTTCTCTCTAAACATATCCTCAGGTGAGGATTAAAAATAATAATAATAGATAATAATAATAATGATGGCACTGGCCTGGGAGGTCCCAAGAAGCCCTCCTTCTCTGAGCTTAAGGCCTGAACTACTCGGCCACCATTCTCTTCTCTTGCTTCTGCTCCCTCTGGGCTGTGCCCAGAACTCTAAGCCTAGCCACCTCCCCAGTTGTGCAGGACAGGCCACCAGCCTCAGGGAGGGAGATGGGGTGGGTGGCATGGTTGGGACAGCCCCAGGCGCAGCTGATGGAGCTGGGTTCTCTCTTCCTCAGGCTCCAGGAGAGATGACTCAGCTGCCCATGATCAAAGCAGAGCCCCAGGAGATGAACCAGTTCCTCAAAGTGACACCAGGTAAGTGTGTCCAGGGAGGGACTCCCTTCCTCTCCAGTCTTGGGCAGACAGCATCCCTACTACCTTGGTCCAGTGACCCACCTCCCTTGACAACCCCACATCTCCCCAGGATATTCTCTCCTCCCTGCCTTGCCCACTCTTCGTCCCTCCAGTCCCCTTCTTACCCAACCTCTGACTGTCATCACTACTATCAACACCCTCACACCGTCTTTGCTAATCTCCTACCATTCACTAACTGAAGCTCACTCTATTGCCATTTGCTCATCTGTCCACCTGTCCATCTGTCCATTCATCTGACCATTCCATCCATCAATCCATCAATCTGGGCATTCTCTGCTGCCCTGGGGCTCTTTCTGCCCAGGCTTCCTCCTGACCACCTGCAGAGTGTTAGTCTTCCCGATGCCCTGGCCACAGAGGGGCAGCATGGAGAGGGAAGCTGGGAAGAGCAGTGCCCCTGGCTAGTCTGCTGAAAGCCCAGTACCTGCTGTCTTGTTACCCTGAAGTCGGAAATGGAAACCCTGTGGTAGTTATGGCTAACTATTTGGGGAAGGAAGGGAGGGAGGAAGGAAGGAAGGAAGGAAGGAAGGAAGGAAGGAAGGAAGGAAGGAAGGAAGGAAGGGTGGCTGCTGCTTGCCCAGCCTGATCCCCAGGGATCCAGTCATCTCCTGGGGTTGCTGAGCTGGGGACTCAGACCCTGGACCCTGTGGAGTCAGGGATGGCGGTGGGCCTCCAAGAATCCATCCTCTATGATATCCACCTGCACCAAGAATCAGGCTTAAAGGAGCTAGGCATCTGGTGTCAGAGATGAGGCGGTGCCCAGGAATCAGCTTCTGGGATGCTAGCTCCCATCTTTCTGACATCACTGAGGGACTTGGTACAGCTGGTCAAGGCCCAGCAGTCTTGACCACAACATCAGGGCTCGCTTAGGCCCATGCTCTGCTGAACTCTGAGGTCCCAGTGGACTGGAGCTGGAGTGCAACCCTGCTAACCTGGCTTCCCCTCCTCTCCTCAGACGACCTGGTGCAGATGCCTCCGACGCCCCCCAGCAGCCATGGAAGTGACAGTGACGGCTCTCAGAGTCCCCGCTCTCTGCCCCCTTCCAGCCCTGTCCGGCCCATGGCCCGCTCCTCCACTGCCATCTCCACCTCTCCCCTCCTCACAGCCCCACATGTAAGCAGCTGGGGATGGTCTGGGGCAAATAACTGAGTAAATCCACTCTGATACTCAGCCAGAGGGGAAGGGTCTGGGGAGCCCCAAGTCTGATCCCCAACCCATCAGAATTCAGAGACGTGCCTGCCTGGCAGATGGGAATGAGAATCTTTTAATCCTGCCTCATGGTAGATAGGAAATAGGTAGGGAAATCCAAGAGGACCGCAGAATTCACACTATTTTAGAGCCAGGACTAGAACTTGACATTCCTGACAGCCAGGGGGTGGCCCCAGCTGCCTCCAAGGAGCACTGTTTGGGGAACAGTGCTCAGGAGGGCCAGAGTCCCCAGGAAACTGGAGCTAGGCCCTGAGCCCTGGGATGGTTGTGGAGCCTTCCAAGTCAAGACTGTAGGCATATGAGGGGGGTACCATTTAGGGGGCCCTGGACAAGTGAGCCTTCCAAGTCAAAACTGTAGGCATATGAGGGGGGTACCATTTACGGGGCCCTGGACAAGTGGGCTTTGAGGTTATGAATTTCAGGATGGGATCTAGGGAGCCCCCCACCCCAGCAATGTACTGAGTACCTAATATGCTGGGCTCCCAGCACCACTCTAAGCACTTGGTACATGTTATTGGATTTCATTCAGGTCTACCCCTTTTTCAGATGAGGAAACTGAGGATCAGAAAGTTGAGTGCTTTGCCCAGGTCACCCACAGAATAAATAGCAGAGCTCGAATTGGAACCCAGGGCTGTAGGTTCCTCACCATCATATCCTGTTTCCCACAGAAATTACAGGGGACTTCGGGGCCACTGCTGCTGACGGAGGAGGAGAAGCGCACCCTGATTGCTGAGGGCTACCCCATCCCCACGAAACTGCCCCTCACCAAAGCCGAGGAGAAGGCCTTGAAGAGGGTCCGTAGGAAAATCAAGAACAAGGTAAAGCAAGAGCTGGCTGCCGGCCCTGCCCTGGGGCTCCGAGATGGGGAGGGGGGCCTCTGATCCCTTGACAATGCCAGCCCTGAAATTGGGGGGCCTAGGAAGTGGATGGTAACCCCTGTTTTGGGGGCTTCCCCCTCTAGATCTCGGCCCAGGAGAGCCGCCGGAAGAAGAAGGAATACGTGGAGTGTCTAGAAAAGAAGTGAGAGTCCTGGGTGGGGTGCGGTGGGGTGGGGGGCCTGGGCTCACAGGACTCCCTGGGCAGGAGGCACAGGGGCTGAGATGCTGGTGGGCAGCACTGAGGGGCCAGCAGCAAATCTGGGGGCTGGCTCTGAGCCTGTGCCTGCTTGGCCCCCGCAGGGTGGAGACATTTACATCAGAAAACAACGAACTCTGGAAAAAGGTGGAGACCCTGGAGAATGCCAACAGGTGGGTGCTGCCCCCTATATCCGGCACTGCCCCCTGCCTTCTGCAGCCAGCTCCTTGCCTGGCTGTGGCATGGCTCTGAGAGGCAGGAGAGAGGAGAGGTGACTGAGTTCAGGATGAACCCCAGAAACAGGAACCCTGCAGCCTGGACTCCAGCTTCCCCTCCTTCTTAATTCTCACATAGCTCTACGTACCTCACAGGGCTGGTGAGAAGCTTTCAATGAGATGGTACAGAGCAGTGGTCTTCAAAGCATGGGCCTCAGCCCACCAGCAGCAGCCTCCCTGTGAGCATGTTAGAAATGCTTATTTTCAGGCCTCACGCCAGGGCTGCTGAAGCGGAACTCCAGGGAGAGGCCTCAGCAATCTGTGTTGCAATTAGCGCTCCAGGTGATTCGGATGCACCCTAGAGCTAGAACCACCGGTGTAGATGCTTCCACTCAAAGCGAGCTGCCAGGGCAAACACTATCAGCACCGCCTGGGAGCTTGTAAAAAGGCAGAATCTCAGGGCTCTCCCAGACTCGCTGAAGCAGAATCTGCATTGCAGCAAGCTCCTTGGCTGATTCATGTGCACAATTAAGGTTGAGAAATGTTAGTGTAGGCGCCGCACCTGGCCTGAGGTATTTACAGAAAGTCACAGCTCTGTGTTCGTAGCACACTCTGCCATTTTAGCGAGTGGGCCCAGCTTCTTTGTCTAAATGGAGCCGACAGGAGCACCAACTCACAGGATTCGTGTGAAGACTTGATGAGACGGTGCAACTGAAGGGCCCAGCCCTGTGCTTGACATTTAAGAATGCTCAATTCTTGTTAGTTTTTCTTTTTTTCTCTCTCTCTAAATATATCTTTATTGATTTCAGAGAGAGGAAAGAAGAGGGAGAGAGAGAGATAGAAACATCAATGATGAGAGAGTCATTGATCAAGCCCGCAACCCGGGCATGTGCCCTGACTGGGAATCAAACCCCGATCGCCTGCATCCTAGGTTGACGCTCAACCGCTGAGCGACGGCCGGCCGGGCTTTTTTTCCTTTTTTATTGTTATTATTCTGAATTCTTGATAGTGCCCAGCCGTGAGCACACAGTAGATCTTTCATGAATATTTCCTGGGATTGATTAAAATAGACAGCAGCTGGTGTGCAGCAGGTGCTCAACAGGCTTTCCCCTTCTTTGCTTCCTTCTCCCTCCGCTTCTCCAGCGGGATCCAGCTATTGCCCTGACTTACCTGGAATATGCCCCCCACTCGGGGAAGGGGAGCAGGGAACTCTCACCCCTCACCCCACCCCTGACCCGTCTGCCTTTCGCCCAGATTCCCCTCTGGGCCCCAAATGGGGCCTGGCCCTTGGAGCTATTTCGCCACCTGCTGTACATCATGGGAACTGCAACTCCCTCTGCCGGGCTGGGTGCAGGAAAGAGCTGATGAAACGTTTGCTCACCAAACATGGGCTGATCACCTCCCGTGTGTACCCAGAGGGTCCCACTGGGGCTCAGTCCTTACCCTCAGAGAGCCCGCCGTTAGCTGAGGAGACTGACATGGAAATCCATAAATAAACGAAGTGTTGCAGGTTCTGTGATAAATGTAAAAACAGCGATAAAATTAACAAAAATGGTAGCTACCATTTCCTAGGCACTGGCTATGTACCAGACAGCTGCCAGGCAGGTCCTTCTGCTCAGCTCAGAGTGTTGTGGGGGCAAAGGAGGGGGGTCAGTGTAGCTGTGGCTGATGTGGGGTAAGAAAAGGTGACCGCAGCCCAAGTGGGGCAGGCCTTCCTCCAACCCCCACTTTGGCCAGGAGCATCACTGGGCGCCCCTGAGCTCCCCTGGGGACAAGCTGTCCCCACGAGGCAGGCCCCAGGTTCCTGAGCTGTACACAGAGGGGCCAGGCAGGAGGTGACCTTTTCTGTCTTGACTGAAATGGGCACCTGGTGTGGAAGCCAAGCGTGGAGCCAGCCCAGGGGCTGCCCCGGAGAGCTCCAGGAGGCAGAGGTGCCCGCTGGGTCAGAGCCCCCAGCTGACCGCTGTCCCCTCCTCAGGACCCTGCTTCAGCAGCTGCAGAAACTCCAGACTCTGGTCACCAACAAGATCTCCAGACCGTACAAGATGGCTGCCACCCAGACCGGGACCTGCCTGATGGTGGGTGCCGCTCCCTCACAGGGCCGCAGGAGCACGCCTTCCCCGCCCGGCTTTCCAGGGGGGTGGGCGGACCTTGGAAGGACTGGCACTGTTATGGGCAACATCACCAGGGCACACCACCCGAGTGCCTCGCGGCCTGGTTCCAGCAGACCCTAGCCTCTTTCACCAAGCCCACGGAACCTTCTAGAACATGGCCTTCCCGGGCCGGTGCTAACGTTTTGTGGCTATGTGGTGACACGCGAACCCGGCTGGGGTATGGCAGGGAAGGCTCTTGAGAAGGCAGCCTCCACATCCTGGTTCTTTCTGGAATGAGTGCTGGAGAGAAAGCCAAGCAAATATCCAAAAACCCAAAAGAGTGCCCAGGGTGTGGCTCAGGCCTCTGCTAGTCCCTCTCCCATCTCCTCCTGGACATGTCCAGCCTGTTCACTCCCCAGTACACTCTCCTCTGAGATCCATGCTTCCCGGTGGCAGGGCTGAGTGTGGGCTTTGTGACTCTTAGCTCCTGCTGAGAATCTGGTGTGATACTGTGCCCCCTCCCTTATCCCAGCCCCCCCTTACCTCCCCGTCCCCCTTTCTTCCTTACCCGATTCCTCCACCCTGGAGGTGGTAACCCCATTGGCCACCTCCCTCTTTTTCCCAGCACTGCCTGTGGTGGCCCCCCTACAAGGGGCTGAGGTGGCCTGAGCAGCCTCTACCTTCTCCAGAGAGGGTGGGGTACCCCACATCTAATGGGTGGTTGGCTCTGGAATTTGCTTTCTTATAAAAATACTGAGCCTTTTTCACCCATTGGTTTTGGGGGGGAGGTTGGGGGGAAGCCAGGGTTGCAGCCCCTCCCCACCCCAATCTGACCACCACTCTCTCCACTACCAGGTGGCAGCCTTGTGCTTTGTTCTGGTGCTGGGCTCCCTCATGCCCTGCCTCCCTGAGTTCTCCTCCGGCTCCCAGACTGTGAAGGAAGACCCCATGGCCACTGACAGCGGCTACACAGCCAGTCAGAGTGAGTGTCCTGGGCCAGGCTGCCCTCCCCCAGCCCCAACTTCCGGGCAGAAGCCAGACGCTGGGAGGAGCCAAGTTTGGGATTGGCATCACCTCATCCTACCTGCTCATTTTGCAGATGGGGAAACTGAGGCTCGAAAAGGGTCTATGATTTGTTCAATGTTGGTTGTGGAATTGGGACTACAATGCAGACCCCCTGATTCCCAGCCCCACCCCCCCCAGAAGTGGCCAGGGGCTCAGTTTAGCCCCATGTATTATGGTGCCAGTGGCTATGGGGCCTCTGCTAAGCACCGTCTGAATTTCACGACTGGGATAGCGAATGAGTTTCAGCTCAAAGGTCATTTCCAATAAGATGTGGTGGCTGCCTGAAGCACTGCGTTAAGGGCTCTGAGGCACCACTCGGGATCAGCAGGAAGGGGCACCTGGGCCCACTGGTGATGTCTGCCATGGGCAGCAGAGGGGCTCAGATATTTACCATCCCACGGGGGATCGTGAAATACAGTGGCTAAGAGCGTGGAGCTTCTGAGTCCGTCATGGCTGCCTCTGCCACTTGCTCACTGCGTGACCTTGGGCTTGTGCCTTAAGCTCTCCAAGCTTTCATTTCTTCATCTGGAAATAGGAGCTACAGTCCTGCACTTGCTGAGCATGGTTGATGTGAAGATTAGATGACGAGGTCTACAAACACTCTCAACACAGATACAACACGTGGGCGGCAAGGGGAGAACTAGTGTAGGGCGCAGCAAGAATACTGTGGATTTCCAGAGGCAGAAGATACTGCAGGTAGACATAGAGAGGACCGTCCCAGCCACGCCTCCTCATTTACCAGGAGCCAGCCATCTGCAGGGAAGGAGGAGGAACCAGATGGGCAGTCGGAGAGCTAGGAGGTGGGGAGAGCGAGTTTCCAGAAGGACGGATGCTGCAGGGAGGGTGCGCTAGGCCCGCAGGGCCTTGAGGGGAGGAAGCGGCTGGCCGGCGGCAGGGGAGCGGTAGGGGAAGAGGAAGTGGGGGCGGCGACTGAGAACCACTCCCTGGACAGGTGGGGCTGGGCCTGAGAAGAAGAGAACAGGACAGTTACCAAGGGGATGGAAGGTCTGGGGAGCCACTCGTTTTTTCCAAGGCCACAGGGGCCCTTGTGTACTGGTGGTGGTAGAGGAAGCCTGAGCGCAGGAAGGAATGGAAGTGGGGGGCAGGGGTGTCAGTGATGATAAAGGAAGCCAGAGTCAGAGGAGGCCAGAGAAGGAACGAGCCCCCCTCGAGTGAATGCAGTGGCTACAGGCCCCGCATCTGGACACCTGGGGTGGGAAGTGCCTGGGGGCAGGCTGGCGTGCAGAGCCGGGAGTGGCATCATGCCAGGGGCGCCTTCCGCATAGCTTGGTCCTCTCACATAGGTCAGGACCGTGAGAGCCAGAGGGTGGTGGTGGATGGAACTAGCATGGGACAGCACACCTGATTACCTGGAACCTCAACTACCTGTTCTGTGAAATGGCTAAAAATATCTGGTTCCTGAGATTCTGTGAGATGTCAATTTCGATGTAGGCCAGAGGACTTTGCCCAATGCCTGGCACATAGTAGATCCCCAACAAATGGATTTTCTTTCCCTTCAGTTCCCTGAAGGGCACTCTGGGGCCTAGAATGGGGAAGAGATTTATTCAAGATCTTATGGAAATTGTTAGGAGTAGGACTTGAACCCAGCTCTCAGATGCCCTGCTTAGAAAGAGCTACTTTCTCTGGGTGCTTACTAAACAGTTTCAATCACTTCTCCTATATTATCTCATTTAAACCTCACATCTACATGAAGTTGGGCCTAGTATCCCTATTTTACAGATGAACAAACTGAGGCTCAGAAAGGTTAAAGCAAGGGCATGACTTGCCTGAGGTCACCCAGCTCAGCATTGCTAGAGCTGGAATTCAGATCCAGGCCTTTAAGACTCCAGGACCCATGTCTGTAACTACTAAGCCATGAATGTGCCTGGGACAGGGAGGGAGCCTCCTGGCACCCGGGCTTACCCTGAGCTTCCTCTCTAGTGCCCTCCCGAAGCCTCCTGTTCTACGATGAGGGGGCAGGCTCTTGGGAGGATGGCCGCAGTGCCCTGCTGCCTGTGGAGCCCCCGGATGGCTGGGAAATCAAGCCCGGGGGGCCAGCAGAGCAGAGACCCCAGGACCACCTACAGCACGACCACCTGGACAGCACCCACGAGACCACAAAGTACCTGAGCGAAGCCTGGCCCAAAGACATCAGTGGAAACGGCACCAGCCCCGACTTCTCCCACCCCAAGGAGTGGTTCCATGAGAGGTGGGTGGGTGGCTCCTTCCCTTCCTAGGATCCCAGGCTCTGCCTGCCCTCTGCCCAACCCCTGTCCCCATGTCAGCCACACCTTCCCAATGCCCCACCCCTCCCATATTCAGATCCAGTTTGCAGAGTGGTGAGAAAGTCCTCATTGGACAAAGTCTCTGATTTTCCTTCTCTCTCCAGGGATCTGGGCCCAAACACCACCATCAAGCTCTCCTAGGCCATGCCAAGACCCAGGACACAGGATGTACCCCCTGGCACCCCTGAAGAGGTTGTCTTGCTCACTGACCCGGATCCGGCTTGTACCCCTGCCCCCTGGGGTACTATCCCAGGAGAAAGGGTTCCATTTCTCCCCAGCCCTTTTCTGCCCCAGATCTTGACTGGGGCCTCTCCTCTCCCCCCACATTTGGACTGTTCCCTTGGGCCAACCACTCCGCTCTCACCCTCCCTCCACAACCTTCGGTCCTTCTCAGATAAACCACTCACTGGGCTACCCCCTCCTTTCTCATATTGACCAACAGGACCACTGCCCTCCCTGCCCCCTGCCCCCACACACACAAACACACACGTCAACATGCCCATACACACATACACACCCTTCACCCCCCACTGTACAGAGACCAAGAACAGAAATTGTTTGTAAATAATGAACCTTATTTTTTATTATTGCCAGTCCCCTAAGATATTGTATTTTACAAATCTCCCTCCTACTTTCACCCCTCCCTTGTTTTATATTTTATGAAATTAGTGCGGGCTTTGCTGTTCCCTGGCCAGGGAAAGAGGGTTTCCCCCCCTCCTTGGCCTCCCCCTGCCGCTGCCCAAGCCGCTGGGCCTTTTTAATTGCCAGATTGCTTCATCCATCCGCTCAGCATATGCTTTAAGAAAGCAAAATTAAAAAAAAAAAAAAAGATGCAGCATCAATTCCTGACTCTGTGTCTTTCATGGGGGAGAGGGGGAGGGAGGACTGAGGGGGGCGAGAAGGTAAATTTATTTTATATTCTGTCAGGGGTGACTGGGGTGTGGGGTGTCGGGAAGGCATTTCTATTGGGTTCCTTCTTCCAGCCAGATGCAGAATTCAAACTGGAAGGTCAGAGATTACTGTTGCAATTGCCCGACCCCCAGGCACCAGCTACCTCCTGCTGCTGAGTCTGGAAGCAGAGAGGCCAGTTAGCCTTTAAGGATGGGAACTGCAAGCATTGGGTGCCTACTGTGGGCCGGGCACTGTGCTAGGCACGCCAGGAGGGTGATCTAAGACCTGCCAGGCTCTTTGTATCCTTTGCCTCAGCTGGATTAAAGGCTCAGACCTCCAAGCAAGAAGAGCTGTGATTATCCAGTAGAGCTGCCACCTGCTCACGGGGCATGTTGGGCACAATTCTAATATGGCCTCCAAGGTTTCTGCCTCCGGCTTACATACCCCGTTTAATCCCCTCCCCTAGAGATAGAGGGTCCTGTGACTGTGAGGGAATGTCATGCCCATAATTAGATGGCCTTCTGTGGTGGCAAAAGTAAAGAGATTTTGCAGATTAAGAGCCCAAATCAGCCCAGCCAGGCGTGGCTCAGCAGTTGAGCATCAACCTAGGATCCAGGCGATCAGGGTTCGATTCCCGGTCAGGGCACATGCCTGGGTTGTGGGCTCGATCCCCAGTCAGGGACCTGCAGGAGGCAGCCAATCAATGACTCTCTCATCACTGATTTTTTTTTATCTCTCTCTCTCCCTCTCCTTTCCTCTCTCTGAGATCAAGAAAGATACATTAAAAAAAAAAAAAGCCCAAATCAGCTGATTTTAAATTAAAAGGGAGATCATTCTGGGTGGGCCTGGCTTAATCAGGTGAAGGCCATTAAAAGAGGGACTGGGCTCTTCCTGAAGAAAAAGTCTCCTGCTGACCTTGAAGAAGCAAACAGCCATGCTGTGAACTACATGGAAATGGGCCACCTCCAGGAGCTGCGGTCCTCAGAGCTACCGTGAGGAGGCACTGAATTGTGCCAACACCTGAACAAGCTTGGAAGAGGACCCCAGATCCAGATGAGACCCCAGCCCAGCCAACAGCTGGACTGCAGCCTGGTGAGAGCCTGAGCCCAGCACCCAGCTAAGCCGGACCCAGACTCTGAGCCACAGAAACTGAAATTGTTTTTAGCTGTCATGTCTGTGGTCATTGGTTATGCCGCATAGGAAACTAATATACTATGGACCTAAAACTCTCTGAGCCTCCATTTCTCCATTTGTAAAATGAGGATATAACTAACACCCAACACCTGAGGCTGTTGTGGGGCTTCAGTGAGGTAAATTACACAAGGTGCTTAGACCAGGGCCCAGCACTTAGTGGCTCTGAGAAATATTAGCTGTGCATTTAGAGGCAATATCAATAGTGTGTTAAGGGCCAGGCAAGGGTGCCATCATAGCACAGAGGAGGGTGCCTCACCCAGATTTGAGCAGGAGGGGCTTCCTGGAGGAGGTGACATGAAGGACTGTTGGAAGTAGACAGGAGAGAGGAAAGGGGCATTCCCAAAGGAAAGAACAGCCTGGGCCAAGGCCTCCATGGTGGGAGAAAGCACGAAAACAAGAGCCCAGCCAGTGTGGGGCCTCAAATGCCTTGCTAAGACATTTGGACTTTAAAATACAAGCATGATACTTCCATACTCAGAAGCAGGGCCATGGAGGTGGCATGGTGCCCACACCAGCTGCCCATCAGGAAAAGCTGGACAAAACCAGATAGAATTATGGAACCTCAGATTTGGCCAACAGACCTCATCTTCTATCACCTTCTTCCCACAGCCTCATCTTGACCACTTGCTGGGGACCTCCTTGCCTGCAGCTGGACGTCAGTTTTAACTGTTAGAGCATGCAGGCCTTTACAGCAAGGCCAGTAAAGGCTGGGCTCTGGGCCCAAGCTGTTATTATTATTAACAATAACTTTTAGCACACACCCTTTTAGATTGACTCATCCATCCCATTAGTCATTCAACAAACTGCCCTGAAAGGCCCCAGGCTGGTGGGAGAGGCTGGGGGGTAAACCAACCATCAGGGCTCGTGTGACAGGGACACAGAAGAATGTCATTTGGTAGGTCAGAGAAGGCAACTTGGTGGAGATGTCCCTTGAACTAAGTCTTAAGGGATGGGTAGGAGCTGGTAAGGGAGAAAAAAAGATCAGAGTGCTTGGGGTGGAGGGGGTGTCAAGTGAAAAGGCATAGAGCCATGAGAAGCAGGGCCAGGACTCAGGTGAGGCAAGGGGGCCCTGAGACTGTTTAAGGAAGTTTAAGGAAGCTCTTGTACAACCCTGAGAATGAGTACCTCCTTAAGGTTTGCACCCTTCACTCCCAGTTGGCTTCACCCTAGTCCTGGCCCTGATGCAAAAAAGAAAGGACACTTTATCCCGAAGGTGATGGGGAACCACTGAATATTTTTGAGCCCCAGAACGAGGTAATCAGATTGGCCTGTCCTGGCCTCTGCAGGGCTACAGGGAGGATGAGAGGGATTCTGGAGATCGGTAGAAGGAAGTGACATCCAGTTGACTGTGGGGCGCAAATGAGAGGGCGGAGCCTGGGATGACATTTAGGTGTCTGACTTGAATGATTCCATCACCAAGACAAGGAACGCAGGGGGAAGAGCAGGTTTGGAGAGAACTTATGTGAACACATCTTGCATTTGAGTTGCTACAGAATGTTTACATTAATAGGTAAGTCTAGGGCTTGGGGAAAAGCGATTCCAGGTGGAGATTAGGAAATTGTCAGCATCCGGGTGGTATATTAAAGCCTTGGGTCTACATATAGGGAAGAGAGATGGGGGGAAAGTGCAGGGAAGGTGGACATTGAGAGACACTAGAGGAGAGGCCTGGATAAGAAGGCCGAGAAGGAAAGGTCGGAGAGGAGAGGAAAGCCAGGAGAGGTGAGTGCCCCAGAAACTGATGGAGAAGAGCTTCCAGGAGCCGTGCTCAGAGGTGTCAGATGCCATCTGAGAGGTTGCGAAAGATGAGAAGAAGGCAGAGTGTCCTTTCTCTGACAACGAGAAGGTCACCAGTGACCTTGGTTGGAGCCTTGTTGGGGAGAGCTGGGGCAGAAGCGGGAGGACTTGGCTGGAAGTGAGAACAGGAGGGACGGACATGAAGATGGGGAGAGCGGGGGAGTGGGGTGTAGGTGAGCTCTTGCAGGGTGCTTGGCTGTGAAGGAACAGAGGGTGGTAACTAGAGGGGATATAGGTGAGATCAAGAGCAGTTTGGGGCTAGTCTCTTAGATGGGAGAGGATATTTCTAGAAAATAAAGAGTCGATAGAGAGGGAAAATGATGGGTGAGGGTTGTGGAGAAGAGATCTAGGAAGCAGGGGAAGAAGTCTGCCTTGGACCTGAGAAGCCTGCAGAGAAAGGGGTGGCATCCTGTGAGTGAAGGATGTGGGGGGACAGGGAAGTGAGGGAGCCTCCTCCCCATGGCTGTGAAGTTTCAAGATGGGGCAATAGGGAGGGTTGGCATGGGAACTGAATTGGGGGGAAAAGGGAAAGTTTGAAATCGTCACTCAGAGGAATGGGAAGTGAAGCTCACTTCTGGTGTGATGCCCCACTATTCATTCATTCGTTTAGCAAATATTTAAGGGGTGTCCCTTATGTGCATGGCACCTTGCTAACATTAGAGCACAAACAAGACCTGGCTCTCCATATCGAAGAGCTTGAAATCCATCCCCGTATTCTCCCACCCTCCATTATTGACTAATTCCCCTGAGCCAGGCACTGGACTGACGATTTCACATGTCCCAATTAGGAATCAAAATAATCCTAAGGGCTGGGTGTTTTTTACAGATAAAGAAACTGGGGTACAGAGGAGGTGAAATGACTTGACCAAGGTCATCCAGCAAATAAGTGGCAAGGCTGGCATTTGAACACAGGTCTGTTTGGCTTCATAGCTCATCCTGCCCCTCCAGCTCTCCAGCTCTCACCCCAGCACCCCTTCCTCCCTCCAGATGCCCTTCCTCCCAGCCCAGATTTTTATTCTTGCATACAATCCAAGAACATTAGGACTTCCTAGAGCAACTACCCCGGAGAGCCCAGGATTTGGTGAGCTGGTCAAAGTGAGGTCATCTGCAATCACCACCCTATGCCTGTCCATCCAAGGCAGTCTTCCCTGCCTATGTTAGGATGCAGGGTTAATCCACTCGCACAAGCACCTGTTGACACTCCACCTCCTCGGGGCCATGTGTCACTGCTCCTGAGGGGGACACGTCTCCAATGCACCCCCAGTGATAGAGTTATAGCCTCTGCACTCTATTGTCAGCCCTGGCAGCCAGCTTTGTCACACGTGATGGCTTTCACAGTGCCAGTCATTCTGCTCAGATTGCCACAACAAACCCTTTGTTACACCTGGAAACCAAAGCTCTGGAAGCAAGGAGAGCAGCTGTGGGTAGTGCCTGGCACTGGGATGGGCCAGGGCAAGGTTCCAATTCCAAGGGCCAAATTGGGCACCTATTTGATGTAGGTAAAAGGTGCCCTGTGGGTCACGGGGAGGTGGGGAGACAGGCTGAGAACTCACCTCTAAAGAAGCCTGAGTTTTTTTGTCATCAGAGTGTCAGTTAAGAGCTGCACTTTATTGTGTGACCTTGGCCAGTTACCTAACCTCAGTAAGCCTCAGTGTCCTCATCTGGAAAATAGTGCCCACCCTCATAAAATTGCTGTGAAGGCCCGGCTGGAGTGGCTTGGTGGTTGGAGCGATGTTTTTCTCTCTCTCTCTCTCCCTCTCTCTCCCCCTCTCTCTCAAATTGCTGTGACACGTAACTGAAAGCTTGCACATAGAGCTCTTAGCCCAAGGTCAGTTATGCAGTAAACACTCAAAAGGCATTAGCTATTATTTTCTGAGCACAGACAATGGGCTGGAGATGTTCTGTGGAGCAAGCTGCAGCTGGGAGAGGCTGCAGAAGGTGGTCAGGCTGGTCAGGGGAGGCG